CATGACCTGATGGATGGTAGATAGAATTACCATGACCTGATGGATGAAAGATAGAATTACCGTGACCTGATGGATGGTAGATAGAATTACCGTGACCTGATGGATGATAGATAGAATTACCATGACCTGATGGATGATAGATAGAATTACCATGATCTGATGGATGGTGGATAGAATTACCATGACCTGATGACTGGTAGATAGAATTACCATGACCTGATGGATGGTGGATAGAATTACCATTACCTGATGGATGGTAGATAGAATTAACATGACCTGATGGATGGTAGATAAGAATTACCATGACCTGATGGATGGTTGATAGAATTACCATGACCTGATGGATGGTGGATAGAATTACCATGACCTGATGGATGAAAGATAGAATTACCTTGACCTGATGACTGGTAGATAGAATTACCATAACCTGATGGATGGTAGATAAGAATTACCATGACCTGATGGATGGTTGATAGAATTACCATGACCTGATGGATGAAAGATAGAATTACCGTGACCTGATGGATGGTAGATAGAATTACCGTGACCTGATGGATGATAGATAGAATTAGCATGACCTGATGGATGATAGATAGAATTACCATGACCTGATGGATGGTGGATAGAATTACCATGACCTGATGACTGGTAGATAGAATTACCATGACCTGATGGATGGTGGATAGAATTACCATGACCTGATGGATGGTAGATAGAATTAACATGACCTGATGGATGGTAGATAAGAATTACCATGACCTGATGGATGGTAGATAGAATTACCATGACCTGATGGATGATAGATAGAATTACCATGACCTGATGGATACCTTACCAATCAGGCTAAGGCCTTGTTGTCCTCTGCAGTCCGAAGAAGTCGTCTCCACTCTACTCGATCCATGGCCACACTTCGCCAGCCTCATAGTCTGCGAAGGGTCCGCAGGTCGCCTTCTACTTGGTCGATCCACCTTTCCCGCAACGCGCCTCTTCTTCTTGTTCCTGTTGGGTTGCTTTCTAGGACCATTTTCACTGGGTCGTCGTGCGGCATGCAATTTGGACGATGGATGGTTTTCCCAGCAGCTGGTACAATTCGTGGTTCATTCGCCCCCTCCACGTTCCGTCATCCATCTGCACTCCACCGTAGATGGTACGCAACACCTTCCGTTCGAAAACACCACGTTCTCCACGAGCATAGTCCAGGTCTCGTGGCCGTAGAGGAACACCGGTCTAATCAGAGTCTTGTAGACAGTCAACTTCGTGCGGCGGTGGATATTCAACCGGAGCGTCCTCCGGAGTCCAAAGTAAGCACGATTCCCTGCCATAATGCGTCTTTGAATTTCTCTGCTGGTATCATTTTCGACGGTCACCAACTCAACGACCACCTCGATTTCGTCCCCGTCAATCTGAACTCGGGGTGGGAGGCTAACATTGTCATCCCTAGAACCTCTTCCTTTCATGTATTTTGTCTTCGATGCGTTGATGGCAAGTCCCATCCGCCTAGCTTCAGCCTTCAGTCTGATGTACGTTTCCGCCATCATCTCAAAGTTCCGTGCCATAATGTCAATGTCATCGGCGAAGCCAAGAAGCTGGATGGACTTCCTGAAGATCGTGCCACTCGTGTCTATCCCAGCTCTTCTGATCACACCTTCTAACGCGATGTTGAACAGCAGACACGAAAGTCCATCACCCTGCCGTAACCCCCTTCGAGATTCAAAGGGACTCGAGAGTGTCCCCGATACTCGAACAACGCACATCACTCGATCCACTGTCGCATAATCTCGTACTCTTGCATAGCTGATCTCGATCGATTGTGTCGTATGCGGATTTGAAATCGATGAACAAATGATATATGGGAACGTTGTATTCGCGGCATTTCTGCAGAACCTGCTGAATCGCAAAAATTTGGTCCGTGGTAGCGCGGGCACCCATGGATCCCGCCACGAACTCTCTTGCAAATGGTGACCGACGGCGGCATAGAGTTTGGGAGAGTACCTTGTAGGCGGTGCTCAGCAGTATGATCGCGCGGTAGTTGCAGCAATCCAACTTGTCCCCTTTTTGTAGATTGGGCATACAACGCCTTCCATCCACTCCTCCGGTAATATCTCCTCCTCCCAAATCTTGGCAATTACCCAGTGCAGCGCTCTAGCCAGTTCTTCACCACCGTATTTTAATAGCTCACTTGGTAGTTGATCTACACCAGTTGCTTTGTTGTCCTACAGCCGACCGATCTTCTCCTCAACTTCTTTAAGATCAGGGGCCGGTAGCCTGTCGTCTTTTGCGCGTGCTCCGAGGTCTGTTGCCGTGCCACCTTCGTTTTCTGCTGCATCACCGTTGAGGTGCTCGTCATAGTACTGCTTCCACCTCTCAATCACCTCACACTCGTTCGTGAGAAGGTTACCGTCCAAGTTCTTGCACGTATCGGCTGATGACCTGATGGATGGTAGATAAGAATTTCCGTTATCTGATGGACTGACTGAAGAAATTTTTAAATAGCTAGATTTACCATGACCTGATGGACGAACTGAGTAATTTTTGAAATAGTTAGAATTGCCATGAGCTGATGGATGAAATTTCCGCGAGAGGGTAGATGTTATGTAATATCGGTTTATTAACAATGGCATTTAATTTTATGGGTGTCAGAACAATTTCAAATGTGATTTCCCGTTCTACGATAGGACACTTCAAAAGTTTTTTTTTTTTTTGACATAGGACTACGTCTGTGATTTCAATATGGAGGTCCACTTTGTGAAAACCGAAAATGGAACATGTAACAAAATTATAAAAGATTTTGAATGTTAATAACTCAGCTGCCCCTGGACCAATTTCAATAATTTTATCACCAATCGATCAGATATATTTCTACGCATCTTTTTAATTAAAGACTTTATCATTTTTCAAAATTTTACCATTGAAAATTGCACGAATGTGCAACTGTTGCTTTGATGATTAAAATTATCACCGATTTGCTGTGAAAAGCGATTTCCCTAACACAGATTTCAAAGTTGAATTCCATCCGGTCTCACCAAACGGTGTTTATTCAATCACCGCGTTGTGTGTGGTGGTGTTCTCCAGTACACAACGAAAAGCTCCCCGCAAGCAGCTAGCTACCAAGGCTGGCCTCAACCGCTGATCGGATTCAGTTCCAATCACCGTGTGTTGTGATGTCCGTCGGTCGTTGAACATTGTTTTCCAGTACACAACGAAAGGTTTCCTACAAGCAGTGAACTGCAGCCCATATGAGCATCCATAGAAGGAGGAAGAAGCCGCACCGCTATTGATCGGAATCAGTAGCTCTTCGTGAGTTGCTGTGGGCCATATATGTCAAGTGTGTCATACTAAAGAGTATAAACAGAGAGAACCCCACTCAAATGTCTTTTCCTACACAAAACACAAGTTCCTGCTGCAGTTAACAAATAAGATCCTACGTTACCATTGCGTACAACCCCATAAGGCTGTCCCTTGTAGTTTTTTGCTATGTAACATCGTTGTACCTAATTAAGGCATTCATATTCGTTATCGGTTAGTAATCGGTTCTTGCTACGTGGACTCCATACATAAGATTTCCATATATGCGGTCCGTATTAAGCGCCTGGAGGGATAGTTGTATTTGCAAGCTCTAGCGATGATAATTAATGATTTAAGACTTGTTAGCATTAGTGATACTGAAATTACGCCAATCTTAGGCTCAGGACTAAAGCTTAAAATCAATTTAATGATCTATAACTCAGGAAAATAAACTTGAAGAAGTACATCTAAGCTCATCGAAATAAAACGTAACATGGCCCAATCCATTAAAAAAAGAAGTGCAGAACAACAATTCAAAACAACGGCAAAACAATTAACAGCCAAAGCTGCGAAAACATATAAACCATGTTTTTATGACTAACCCCCTTGGATAAACACACCTGTCAGCTTCCCACAAACTTTTACGACCGTGTCCCATTAATTATGAAACCGAAATCATTACGGTGAAAACGCTCTAATTTACGACCCGGGTCCCCATATATTTCCCATCGAAATTAGCGAACCAAATTTCCTAACACCGCTTACAGCCTCAGTGTGATGAAAAGCTTCCTAAAAACAAACCATAAAGCGCACTGGGCCAAAAATGATGTCCATTTGGGTCCGTTTGCCGCGCCTTCCGGTTCTCTTCCGGTAAAAGTAATGACGAAAACCGCAATTACCAATTCAATTTAACTTTCAAACTCGTCGATAGCGAGTCTCCATAATCCTATCGTCTAAAATCAAATGCTGCCTGCCTTGCAACGGCCGGAAGCCAGCCGCCGACCATGAAGAGGTCAGTCGAAAACGAACGGCTCCATTTAACAGGGAGATACAATGAATGAGGTTCGTCACTTACTGTCACGTTTGCACGCATTTAAGTTTCTCTCTCTCTCGGCCTCTGTCTCTTGCAATCAACAGCTAACAATCGTCAAACGACAATGATGTGATGCCGACGGCAGTCCATAGTAGTTGCGTGTCCACGTGCTCCCCGAACCGAAACCCAATTAAGATTGCAAGGTGGCGAGGCGATCTTATCCAAGAAAGTTGAAACTTTTCCCGCCAAAATGTCCATCTCTGTATTTTCTGTATGTGGGTCATAGAAACAACTGTTTCATATGTAAATCGGTTCGAACTGCTGATGCCAAACATTAAATTTTTTTCGATCAAAATTTGTCCATGATCTCGCAAAATGCCGCTCTAACCGAACTCAAATGGCGTGTCCATCAAGGTCCGAAAAATTAAAAATGGATTCACGCAACCCAGCAGCAACCCAACCCAGCCTAATCACGGTTCAAAATCTCTCTCGCTGCAAACACTTTGGGCTAACTGCTTTCTTTCGTGCACAATTCAACCAACGCCAAAAGCGCGTTTTCCTAATCTACTCTTATCCAGAAAAACTAATTTGTTTTTACCCAAACCCCCCTCCATGTCCACTTATTTTTTCCACCCCACGCAGCTCGTCCGATTTATCTAATGTGTTTCATTTTTTTTTTCAGCAGCCACCACCATCGCCGCGCAGCTGCTAGAGTTGACCAAGTGAGACCGAGCGCGAGAGAGCGAGCTTCCAATAAGGTAGGTCATAAATGCAACACCAGCTAAACTCAACAACTGCTAATAACAGGATTTTATCAATTAGTATGCAAATTGTTAGGGGGGTACGGTTTTTTGTATGCCCTCATACTGAAGCTTTTTTTGTGGGTTGTCACGCGAAATGCACCGCTGCTGCTGCAGCACGTCAGTGCAGTGCGATAATTACTTTCCTCCAAATATGGTGCACTGAATCAAACTCACAAACGCTCATTCTCAGAGTTGCAGTTGCGCCGTGGACCCCAACTCGTCAGTGAGTGAGTGAATGAGTGAGTGTATTTGTTTTTAGGTGGAAATAATTGGTGGATTTTTTGTTGTTCGTCTAGACTCAACCCGGTGCCTGGTTGTGGTGGTTGCATCGATGCATAATCAGCTGATTATGTCGGTGTCCGCCGTTCGATCGATTTGCGTGGCAGCAAATTGATGCAATTTTTCATAATTTGTTATTAACAATTAATTAGCAGCCTGTTCGCTCACTCTAGACATCGCGCCAGGTGAGTGGGAGATGGAAGGGTGTTGATCGAACCGAACGAATCCAGTTTTTGAATTGGTAATGGTGTTTTTTTGTTCACAGTGAAAATTCTGCAGGTGGATCCTAGCTGTTGGGACAAAAAGAGGGAGGGTTTGATAAACGGGCTGATATTTTTTTTTGCGGTGAAAAAATGCTCCAGTGAACAGATTTAATTAGTTTCTTATCAAATGTGATCAGCGGTCGATGCATGCTGTGAGTTGGCGTATAGGGCGGTTAATAATCGGTTAGCTGCACTGCCAGTTGCAACATACTGGTACAAAGCAGTTGTAGTAGACAACAACCGTTGTTTCAGTTATTGTCCAGTTTTGAAATTGACGATTTTCAATATGTGATGATTAATTTTGAATTGACCAATTTTCAAGTGTCCAATTTTCAACTGTCCAATTTTAAATTGTCTGTTTTTCATTTGCCCGATTTTCGATTTTCAAATTTTCAATTGTCCTATTTTCAGTTGTTCAGTTTTCCATTGTAATTTTTTTACATGCCCAATTATCAAATTCCCAACTTTCCAATGTCCAATTTTTAATTCTCGAATTTTATATTGTCCAATTGCCCAATTTTAACCGCGCAATTTTTAATTTTCCAATTTTCAATAATCCAATTTTCAACTGTTCAATTTGAGATTGTCCAATTTTTAACCTGCCTGAATTTCAGTTGTCTCATTTTAAAATTATCAGATTTCTAATTGTCCATATTTCAATTGTCATTTTTCATCTGTCCAATTTTCAATTATCAAATTTTCTATTTTCTAATTTTCAATTGTTCAATTTTCGACTATCCTATTTTCAGTTGTTCAATTTTCAATTGCCAATTTTCAATTGCCAATTTTCAATTGCCAATTTCCAAATGTAAAATTTTTACAATGATATTTTCAACTGTCAAATTTTTAAAAATCCACATTTAATTGTCTTCTTTTCAATGAATCAATTTTCAAATTCTATTGCCCAATTTTCCATTGCCCAATTTCAATTATCCAATTTTAAACTGTCCAATTTTCAATTGCCTACTTTTCAATGGTCCAACTTTCATTTATTTTACTTTTAATTATAAATTTTCAGTTGTTCCATTTTCAATTGACCAATTTTCAACAATTCAATTTTCAACTGTCCAATTTCCAATTATCCAATTTTAAATTGTTCAATTTTCAAGTGTCCTATTTTCAACTGTCCAATTTTTAATTGCCCAAATTTCAATTGTCATGTTTCATCCGTCAAATATTTAACTCTCCAATGTTCAATTTCCCAAGTTTCAACTGTCCCATTTTCAATTGTCCAATTTTCTTTTTCCCAATTTTGAATTGTCCAATTTTACAATCGTCCAATTTTACAATTGTCCAATTTAACAATTGCCTAACTTTTAATCATGCAGTTTTCAATTTTCCAATTTTCCAATTTTCAGTTTTCCAATTTTCATTTCTTCAATTTTCAATTGTTGGAAAAATGAACGAATTATTAAAAAAAAAATTACATGGACAAATTTTCAATTACCTCTTTTTGAATGTCCAATTTTTAATTGTCCAATTTTCGATTGTCCAATTTTCAATTGTCTAATTTTCAATTGTCCAATTTTCAATGGTCCAATTTTTAACTGTCCAATTTTCAATTGTCCAATTTTCAATTGTCCAATTTTCAATTGTCCAATTTTCAATGGTCCAATTTTAAATTGTTCAATTTTAATCGTCCAATTTTCAATTGTCCAATTTTCAATGGTCCAATTTTCAATGGTCCAATTTTCAATTGTCCAATTTTCAATTGTCCAATTTTCAATTGTCCAATTTTCAATTGTCCAATTTTCAATTGTCCAATTTTCAATTGTCCAATTTTCAATTGTCCAATTTTCAATTGTCCAATTTTCAATTGTCCAATTTTCAATTGTCCAATTTTCAATTGTCCAATTTTCAATTGTCCAATTTTCAACTGTCCAATTTTCAATTGTCCAATTTTCAATTGTCCAATATTCAATTGTCCAATTTTAAATTGTTCAATTTTTAATTGTTCAATTTTTAATCGTCCAATTTTCGATTGGCAAGTTTTCATCTGCCTGAATTTAAGTTATCCTTTTTTTCAATTGTCCAATTTTCATATGTCCAATTTGTAATTGTCCAAATTTCAATTAGCAAATTGTCTTCTTTCATTTGTTCAGTTTTCAATCAACCAATTTTTAACTGCCCAATTGTCTTGTATCCAATAAGCATACGTCCAATTTTCAATTTACTTATTTTCAATGGTCAAATTTAAAATTTTCAAACTTTCAGTTATCCAATTTTCAATTGTTCTATTTTTTATTGTCTAATTTTCATTTGTTCCATTTTCAATTGTTCCATTTTCAATTGTTCCATTTTAATATGTTCCATTTTCAGTTGTTCCATTTTGATTTGTTCCATTTTCAGTTGTTCCATTTCAATTGTTCCATTTTCAATTGTTCCATTTTCAATTGTTCCATTTTCAATTGTTCTATTTTGAATTGTTCCATTTTCAATTGTTCTATTTTCAATTGCGCTTTTGATAATTGTTCAATTTTCAATTGTTCGAATTTTAATTTTTCATTTTTAAATTGTCGAAATTTCAACTGTCCAATTTTCAAGCATCCAATTTTCAATTGTCCAATGCTCAATTGACGGTTTTCAAGTATCCAACTTTCAACTGTCCAATTTTCAATTGTCTAATGTTCAATTATCCAATTTCCAATGGTCCAATTACCAATGGTCCAATTTCCAATGGTCCAATTTCCAATGGTCCAATTTCCAATGGTCCAATTTCCAAAGGTCCAATTTCCAATGGTCCAATTTCCAAAGGTCCAATTTCCAATGGTCCAATTTGCAATGGTCCAATTTTCAATTGTTTATTTTAAGAGTATTCAATTTTCAATTGTCCAATTATCAGTTTTCCAATTTAAATTGTCCAATTATCAATCGTATTTTCAATTGTTCAATTTTAAATTGTCCAGTTTTCAATGATCAAATATTCAACTGTGCGATTTTCAATTATACAATTTTTGATTTTTGATTTTTCAACTGTCCAATTTTCAATTGTCTTATTTCCAATTTTCCAATTTTAAATCATCCTATTTTCAATCCTTCAATAATCAATTTTCCAAATTAAATTGTCCAAATAGCAATCGTCCAATTTTCAACTGTCAAATTTCCATTTGACCAATTTTCAACTGTCCATTTTTCAACTGTCCAATTTTCAACTGCCCAATTTTCTATTGTTCAATTTTCAATTGCCAAATTTTCAATTGGCCAATTTTCAATTATACAATATTTAACTTTCCAAATTTCCATTGGTCCAATTTTCAACTGTCCAATTTTAAATAATTCAATTTCAATCGTCCAATTATCAATTTTCCAAATTAAATCGTCCAGTTATCAATCGTCCAATTTTAAACTGCCCAATTTTCATTTGTCCAATTTTCAACTGTCCAATTTTCAATTGTTTATTTTTCCAATCCAATTTCAATTGTCCAATTATCAGTTTTCCAATTTAAATTTTCCTATTATCACTCGTCTTTTCAATTGTTAAATTTTAACAATGATCCAATTTTCAATTAACCAATTTTCATTTTTTCAATTTTCAAATGTCCAATTTTCAATTGTCCACTTTTCAACTGTCCAATTCTCAATTTTCCAATTTCCAGTCGAGTATTAGTACAAGACACTGAAGAAGTCTGCACATTGTAGACGAAATACGCGTATCTGTCAAGGATAAGCAAATAAAGTAGTGGAATTAAATGGAAAATACTAATCCTTCTCTCTCTCATTATACAGGTATTCCACTAAGACGCCCACATTCATCAGGATTCAATTTTTAACTGTCCAATTATCAATCGTCTACTTTTCAATTGTCAAATTTTCATTTTATCAATTTACAATTGTCAATTATTAAATTTTCATTTGTTATAATTTCAATTGTCCAATCCAATTTTCAATTATCCAAATAAATAAAATTGTCCAATTATCAATCGTCCAATTTCCATCTGTCCAATTTTCAATTGTCCAATTTTCAACTGTCCAATTTTCAATTGTCCAATTTTCAATTGACCAATTTTCAACTGTCCAATTTTCAATTGTCCAATTTTCAATTTTCCAAGTTTCAATTGTCCAATTTTCAACTGTCCAATTTTCAAACATATAATTTTCAAGTGTCCAATTATCAATTTTCCAATTTAAATTGTCCAATTATCAACCTTTTTTCTATTGTTAAATTTCCAACACTGGACATTCATGATCCAATTTTCAACTGTCCAATTATAAATCGTCAAAGTTTTGATTGTCCAATTATCAAATTTCCAATTTGAATTGTCCAATTCTCAATAGTTAAATTTTCAATTATTCTATTTTCAAATATCCAATTTTCAATTGTTCAATTTTCATCTGTCCAATTGTCGTTTGTCAAATTTTCATTTGTCGGATTTTAAATTGTTCAATTTTAAATTAACCAATTTCAATCGTCAA